AAGGAATAGTTCACCAAAAAATAAAAATGGTCATTTATTAAAACAAATTTTTTTTCAGTAATAACAGCATAAAGTTTTGGCCTGACATGAGGTTGACCATTTTCATTTTGGGTGTACTGTTCCTTTAACCAGTATACTATCTGTTTGTATCTTAGCATATATGGTAGATGCATGCATGAAGGGTTAATGAGGCAGCAAACTCTGCAGAGAGAGTGTTGCTAACTCCTACAGATTTCATTTTGTGCTCCGCATTAAACCCTTAGACCGTCTGGAAGCCTGAGCCCTTCAGTCACTCTCTGCGCTGCGCAGCCCGTCTAATGATAAAAGGCCAAACTCCACCAGCGGTAACCATGACAACAGCAACACCGCTCAATCTAGGCTCATCTTTTTGCCCTATCAGCACTGTGTGCAGAGGACACATTTATAATGTGCACCGATTTCAAGAAATGTCTCTCTATGTACGATGCACAAGTGTGCAAGAAATGTCTCTCTATGTACGAAGCACAAGTGTGCAGAATCTGAAAAGTAAAGTCAGACGTGTGAGGTCTGTAGGATCCTTAGGAAGCCTGGCCTTTGTTCTCTGTTTGTGCACATCTGCAGGGCTTAAACATGCTTCTGGTGCATCGATTTGCTTCTCGGCGAAGTGCGTTTTCTCCCCCGTGCCTTTATCTGAGCTTCAGATTTTTGTTCAGTATATTAAGAGCTTATTTTTGGTCCTTAAAGGAGTGCTAAGCCGCTCTGTGAGCTCTCAGCGGCGCTGACTGTGAAACCGCGTGTGCGGCTTTGTGCTGGTATCACACACACCACCAGAACAGGTACAACATCAACATTCATCACGGGAGGATGCGGATGAAAACACGTTTCTGCAACATGAGACATACTTGGAAAAATGTGCATCAAATTTACACTGTATAATTACTGATCATAAAGTTCATCCAAAAATGTAAATGTCTTTTTAAATCCTGTATAATTTTCTCTGTTCCATGAAACATAAACAGAGTTTTTTAGCAGGATGTTTCACACTCGATTTGCAAATATTAAAGCTGCACAAATTAAATATTAATTACTAATTTTGGAGTATGACTAGTAAATAATCACTGTAGGTTTGTTTTGTAGTAATAGTAAACACTATCTCTTGTTTTTCGTAACTGGTTACATGTGCCACATTTGAATATGCAAATATTAAAATTGCACAAATTAGATATTAATTATTAGTATGGAGTATTAATAATTAGGCGCCAGGTTTGTTATTAGTAATGGTAAACACTATTGATTCTTGTGTTTCTTGTAACTATTTACAAGTAAATTAGGGATAGTTGACCCAAAAATTAAAATTCTGTCATTAATTACTCACCCTCATGTTGATCCAAACCCCTAAGACCTTTGTTCATTTTCGGAACACAATTTAAGATATTTTTGATGAAATCTGAGAGCTTTCTGTCCCTGCATAGACAGCAACACAACAGGCACGTTCAAGGCCCAGAAAGGTAGTAATAACATCGTTAAAATAGTCCATGTAACATCAGCGGTTCAGTCGTCATTTTATGCAGCTACAAGAATACTTTTTGTGCACAAAGAAAACAAAAATAATTGGAACAATTCAGTCTCCGCCGCGTGTTCATGGGTAGCACGAATTTGTGTTGAACAAAGGTCTTGCCGGTTTGAAACGACATGAGGGTGAGTAATTAATGACTGAGTTTTCGTGGGTGAACTATCCCTTTAATAATGGTAAATATTCTTGTTTTTTTTGTAACCAGTTAGAAGTGCCAACTTAGAGTATTCAAATAATAAAATTCACAAATATTGGTAGCTCGTATGGAGTGTTAATAATTAATCACTTTGTTATTAATAATGGTCATTTTTGGCCATGTTAATTGTATGTAAAAGAGCTATGTGCACATTCTGCCAAACATCTCTGTAAAAACTGACTTTTATGAAAACTGTCACTTTAGCCTGATATATAAAGGAGTTTTAGAAACTTGAGTTCAAGATTAGTGGTTACGGAAAGTTTGTGATTTTTTTTTTTAAACTTGAGTAGCTGTCAGCACTTCATTCCCTGCTTCTCATATCCTCTATTCTCCAAAGAGAGATAGGTTAAAATTTTTTCCATTTGCAGGGCAAGCCCTCCTCAATCAGGCTGCTTGTATGGGACCGGTTTATTGTTCCCTGTAGGCTCCTCAAAGCTGCCCATATCAATGCTGTGTGAAGTCTCTGTAAAGATAAAATCAACATCTCTGAATTCAGAATAAAAGCTTTTTTTTTCATCTAGTGTAAGGTGTCTCCACCATCTACATGGGCAGTTTGACCTATAGAGTATGGTACATTTTCAGCTGTAATGGATCGCAGACAGAGCTGATGATGATACAGGGCACTGAAGAATTGTTTGACACTGAACTGTCATCTAGCTTGGCGTCCATTTAAATCGTAGGTTTTCAACCCCACCCAAGATGTTTTTTTTTAAGAGTCTTTAAAAAATTGGGTTGTAAGGATCATTTAAAGAGATAGTTCACCAAAAAATGACTCACCCTCATGTCGTTCCAAACCCGTAAGACCTTCGTTCATCTTCGGAACACAAATTAAGATATTTTTGATGAAATCTGAGCGCTGTCTGACCCTGCATAGACAGCAGCGCACCACCATTGTGGAAAGAGTATCATGATGCATGCACTTCCACTTAATGTAAACAACGCATGCGCATGGCGCTGCTGCTTACGTTAACATGCACACGTGTCATTTACATGAAGCAGAAGCGCATGCGTCGTGATACTCTTTCCACAATGGCGGCGCGCCACAGCAGATGTGATTAGGAGGAGAAGAATTGTTGAATAAAGTCATTATTTTCGTTTTCTTTGCGCACAAAAATATTCTCGTAGCTTCGTAAAATTACGGTTGAACCCCTGATGTCGCATTGACTATTTTACTGACGTCCTTGCTATGTTTCTGGACTTGGGAACATTTCAGTTGTGTTGCTGTCTATGCAGGGTCTGAGAGCTCTCGGATTTCATAAAAAAATATCTTAAAGGGGTGGTTCTTTCAAGGCATGATTGTGTTTATGGGGTGCAGTCTAACGTGTTAATGCTTAGTTTTTTTTTTAAAAATGCATTTTTTATTTATTTTTTTACATAATTTACCTTTATTCCACACCGCTCTGTCCCTTCTCTGAGAAACGCGCAGATCAATGCTACTGCTTATGTTAGCTTTTAATATACAGTTTTATCCTGATTAAAGCTTTAATACAGTACGGCAACTGCATGCGCGTCCATGTTTTAATGCTTCTCATAGTTATGTGAAAATAAGTGTATAATTGTAACAGTTCATGCTGGAGCTGAGCTGAATGAGAGCGAGAGAGATGCAGAGCAGGGGGACGCGAGGAACAGTATTAAGAACCGCTGCTTTAGAACATTGATTTTGAAACCTGTGAATCCATTAGAATCGTTAGAAGACAGAATCGCGATTCATATATGAATAGATTTTTACGTGCACCTCTAGTTTTCTCTTCCTCTTCTCTAAAGCAGCGCAGCATATCCTCGCCCCCTTTGCTGCCTTTTCCCGAGGGCGGGAAGTAACTTGTTGTAGTCCCTACGAGCCGTTTTTGTAGGCATTAAACTGCCAGAATTTTAAAAGACGATATCTCTGTTTGCATTGAACTTTCAGCTTCGGAACTTTGCATGTATTGTTTATGCTCAAACAGCAACATTACACACTAACTAACGTTAAAAAAGTGAAATCGCAATCAACCACCCCTTTAATTGGAGTTCCGAAGATAATTAATGACAGAGTTTTCATTTTTGGGTGAACTATCCCTTTAAGGAAAGTGTGTGTGTGTGTGTGTGTATATATTTATAGCCTATATTTATGTACTAAATTCCAAGACTCAGGGAAGAAGGCAGGAACTAGCAAATGTAACTTCAATAACAACATAAACATAAACAACATAACGAAAGAAAGAGGCAGCTGCCTCACGGCAGACTGTAATTTATTCCTGTATTGGCAAAGATTAATTTTTAGCATCATTACTCCAGTCTTCAGTGTCACATGATCCTTTAGAAATCATTCTAGTATGCTGATTTGGTGCTCAAGAAACATTTGTTTGAAAATTGACATCTTTTCTGAAGTCTTTACTGTCACTTGTGATCAATTTAATGCATCCTTGCTGAATAAAAGAAAAAAGAAAAAATCTTACTGACCCCAAACTTTTGTATATACAGTATTTGATATATACAATGATATTCAGCAGATAAATAGGCTAAATATCTGCGTTCTGTTATTGCACAAAAGTTATAGTCCTCACAAAAAAGGAACCGTTAGGATTATGCAAAATAACCCAAATATTATTCATTGCAGGTGATCTGAAGTCCGACAGTGCTTTTAAAAAGGGATGAATGTAGAGAAGCAAATTATCTGACAGTTTGCCATGCTGACAGTACTGATAGACTCTTAGCGCGCTAAGTGCTACATACTGTCAACATCCTAAAACTGTCCCTGAGAGGTTATGGCACCCGCTTTAACCACTACACACAACATTTAAAGCTACTTAAAACAATCTTGACCGTACTAATCAACAGACAGTCAGCAATTCTGCCCATCTGTAGTTCCTTTCTTATTGCAAAGAAACATGAGATCTTGTGGGGAAGTCGTGGCCTAATGGTTAGAGAGGCGGACTCATAACCCAAAGGTTGTGGGTTCGAGTCTCGTACCGGCAGGGATTGTAAGTGGGGGGAGTGAATGTACAGCACTCTCTCCCACCTTCAATACCATGACTGAGGTGCCCTTGAGCAAGGCACCGAACCCCCAACTGCTCCCCGGGCGCCGCAGCATAAATGGCTGCCCACTGCTCCGGGTGTGTGTTCACGGTGTGTGTGTGTGTTCACTGCTGTGTGTGTGCACTTTGGATGGGTAAATGCAGAGCACTAATTCTGAGTATGGGTCACCAAACTTGGCCACATGTCACTTCACTTAATCTCATTGTCATCATCAGCTGGTCTATGTTCTATCTTCAGGTGGAGGAGATTGTAGACGTGGGCATGTTTGCAGCAGAAGACATCCACATCCCCAGCATCTACGTCCACAGGATTGTAAAGGGAGATAGCTTTGAGAAGCGGATCGAGGTGAGGTGACTTGACTCGTCTGGCTTGTTTCTATCAGTTTTCCTTTATCCATCTATCCTCTGTCATCTTTTTTTTTCTTCTTATTGCCGCCCCTCTGTCTGACCTTTTGCAGAGGCGTACAGTAAAGAAAGGCCAGGCTGAAAATCCCAAACCCAAGAAAGACTCTGATATTGTGAGAGAGAGGATTATTCGTAGAGCTGCGCTGGAGTTTGAGGATGGGATGTATGGTATGTACAGTGTTTCAGACCATGTCACTTACATTTGATCGATTTAATTTCACACTGAACACTGAAAATGAAAATTCTGTCATTATTTCTTTACCCTCATGTCGTTCCAAAACTGTATGCTGGTTTTGTGAACATAAAAAGGGGAATTTTGAAGAATCTGTCTTTGCCATGCAATTACAGTGAATGGGAATTTAAGCTTTCAGAGCATAATAGAAGTGAATCACACAACTTGTGTGCTATATTTCAAGTATATGAAAGCTATATTGAAATTTGGTGACGTTTTCCTTTAATTTTAAACAGTTATTATAAGCAACAATGGTTTTAATGTTTGCTAAGAATGTCATTTCATGTGTGTCTCTCATGATAATCTGTTAAAGGGATAGTTCACCTAAAAATGAAAATTTGATGTTTATCTGCTTACCCCCAGGGCATCCAAGATGTAGGTGACTTTGTTTCTTCAGTAGAACACAAACTGAGATTTTTAACTCAAACCGTTGCAGTCTGTCAGTCTTATAATGAAAGTGAATGGGAATCACAGCTTGAGAGTAAAAAAAAACATACACAAACAAAACCAAATTAAACCCTGCGGCTCGTGACTATACATTGATGTGTAAAGACACGAAACGATCGGTCTGTGCAAGAAACCTGTGCCTGCGATCCGCCGTAAAGCAAGAAGAAGAAGAAGAAGACGACGCATCACGCACCGCCTGTCAAGGACGCGCTCAGGACAGTTCAGACATTGCAGTGCCTAAGAGGTAAAAAACGATATACATACTGTTCAGTTTCTTGCACAGACCGATCGTTTCGTGTCTTTACACATCAATGTATCGTCACGAGCAGCAGGGTTTAATTTGGTTTTGTTTGTGTATGTTTTTTTTTACTCTCAAAGCCGTGATTGCCATTCACTTCCATTATAAGACTGACAGACTGCAACGGAGTTAAAAATCTTAGTTTGTGTTAAAATTAAAGGAAAACGCCACCAAATTTCAATATAGCTTTCATAAACTTGGAATATAGCACAATGTTAAGCAGATAAACATCAAATTTTCAATTTTGGGTGAACTATCCCTTTAATGCGGTTTGATAACCTTTTTAGCTAACCTGGGCATCGGAATCCCCATGCTGGCCAGTAATTTCATTAAACCAGATATTACCGTCCACCTGCAGAGTGAAAATGGCATTCTGGGGCTGGTAAGCTATCTTTTCACAGATTTGTATTGAATTTGCTAAATACGGTTATAAATTCAGTTATATAAGAAAATCCTGTCTGTTATGATTTTATTGTTCTTGCATTCTTTTTTATTTTAATGAGACATAAAATCGTTCTAAAAAAGTTTAGTTGTTTACAAAAATGTTTAAATGTTGACATGCATAAATTATTCAAAAACTACACTACCATTCAAAAGTCTTTTGAATCCTTTATTCATCAAGGACACATTAAAAGTAATTGTAAAGTCATTTATAATGTTACAAAAGATTTAAATGCTAATCTTTTGAATGTTCTTTCCACAAAACTATTAAGCAACACAGCTGATTTTAACATTGATGATAATAGGAAATATTTCTTGAGCAGCAAATCAGCATATTTGAATGATTTCTGAAGGATCATGTGACACTAATGACTGGAGTAATGGCTGCTAAAATCAACTTTGCTTTCATAAGAATAAATTACATTTAGAAATGTATTAAAATAGAAATTAAAACAGAAATTATATTTTTAATTGTAATAATATATCACAATATAATTTGTTTACAAAAATGTTTAAATGTTGACATGCATAAATTATTCAAAAACTACACTACCATTCAAAAGTCTTTTGAATCCTTTATTCATCAAGGACACATTAAAAGTAATTGTAAAGTCATTTATAATGTTACAAAAGATTTAAATGCTAATCTTTTGAATGTTCTTTCCACAAAACTATTAAGCAACACAGCTGATTTTAACATTGAAGAATAAAGAATAAATATAAGAATAAATTACATTTAGAAATGTATTAAAATAGAAATTAAAACAGAAATTATATTTTTAATTGTAATAATATATCACAATATAATTGTTTTTACTGTATTTTTAATCAAATAAATGCAGTCTTGGTAAGCATTTGAGACTTTACATAAAAAAAATAAACCAACTCCAATTTTTGAAGTTGAACGGTAGTGTACATTACAATATATGTACAATAATGTATCTTTAGTTTGTATGTTTTGTATTGTATTATTGTTTAATGTCAAATATTACCACTATTAGATATACAGCAGGTATCATGTATCAAAGGAACAATAATGAATTTAGACACAAAAACAATGTTCTTCATCTACATGAAGCAACAGTTGAATCCTTGGCTCCATTTAACTTTAATTGTTGTTATACGTCATATTTATTTTTGTCTTAATAGGAGTGATTTTTGCGCTCCTCATAAAAGCATTCATAAGTACTGTTTTTTTTGTGCTTTTGGAATAATTCAGGGCCCTTACCCAACAGAGGAAGAAGTTGATCCAGATCTCATCAACGCTGGTAATAATTATCCCTGATTTTCATACTAATAGACAGTCATACAGCATTAGCATTGCATAAATTGCCTTTTAATAACCTAATTTGTCCATTCAGAGCACTTTCCATTTCACCCTCACCCTTTCAGGTAAAGAAACTGTTACAGTTCTTCCTGGAGCCGCTTATTTCTCTAGCGACGATTCCTTTGCCATGATCAGAGGGTAAGGACGAATCACATTTAAGTCTAACCTTATTCAATCATATATAATGACTTTTTAATATATATTCAGTGTGTTATAACCATTCCCACAAAATATTTTTCACAAGTTGACTTTCAGTAGATTGTTCCTCAGACAGGCTGAGTACTTTTAAAGAGGCCAGCTGTGGGTGGAAGAGCTCACTTAGACATTCCGGTAATAAATGTGACTTTTCATGTCGAATGAAGCGCTGTGGCTGTTTTGTGGCGTAAGGACTTGATTTGGAGCGGGTAAAGGGTTGTTTGCTGGGTGTTAATGGTGAAAGTTCGGGATGGAGCAGAGGCAGAATATGCAATGAGTCGGCCGTGATGCTGCCTGTGCCTCAGGCCACGTTGGCTGACATTTTCAGCTCTGTCAAAACAGGTGGCTACTTTAATTGGATGCTTCTTGTACTGCTCAGTAGGGTGAGACGGCGGAATGAAGGTGCTTTTTCTCTGCCGGGACCGTTCTGGCCTTCACGGAGAGATCGTGCAGTGCTGTCGATAAAGCAATTGACTCTTGCTGGTCTTAAGTGTGTGAGTGTGTAATTGTGCATCCTGTGTGTGTGAATATCAATTTCCTGATGACACCATTTTATGTGGTGTTTTTCCCAGTGTACTTTATGAGGGCCCAAAAGCTACTGGAGTCTAAGCCCACTAGGGGAAAATATGTATATATAATATTTATATAAATCGATATTTTTTATATATGCATATAAACACATATTTCTTATAAATACTGGTCATTTTGATTCCTTCCAGTTATGTTTTAGTGCAGTCATAAGTTTGAATTTGCCTTTAATAATTCTGTTATTTGCATAGCTGTATGTTAGGCATTAGTGCCATGTCGTTTAGAAAACTCCCCGTTGATGTTTTATGAGCCTTATCGATTTTTCCACAGGCAGCTGACGCCTTCTTCCCACAAGCTTCACCTTTATTTCTCTTTTCGCCATCTGCGAATCCAGCAGCGGTCATATATTTATATCCTAAATAAATATATATCCTAATTTCGTTGTATACAGAAAAATACAATGACAATAAAGGCGTTCAATTCAATATTTAGGCCTTAATTGTCTGGTGCAATAGGGAGCCCAGTGAATGGTCATGGGGTCTTTGCTGTACCCGGAGTCATGACAGCACATACATTAAGAATAGAGCCCTTCCACCCACTTACAGTCTGTCTCTAGATTCATGAATAAGACCATCTGAAAATCCAGTGGTTTAGTGGCGCACTATTTCAACCCAATAGGCTCAACTTTTTGGCACACAGGACCTTACTACTTAAAAGATTTAGTCTAGTCTGTTAGGAAGTGTTGAAAAATTTACAGTTTTGCTTAAAGGGAAACTATACCCAAAGATGAAAATTCTGTCATTAATTACTCACCCTCGTGTTGTTCCAAACCCGTAAGACCTTCGTTCATCTTCGGAACACAAATTGAGATGTTGTTGATGAAATCCGAGAACTTTCTGACCCTGGATAGACAGCAATGCAACTACCACGTTCAAGGCCCCCGAAAGGTAGTAAGGACATCAATAAAATGGTCCATATGACATCAGTGGTTCAACCTTAATTTTATGAAGCTACGAGAATACTTTGTGTGCAAAGAAAACAAAAATAATGACCAATAAAAATTTCTTCTCTTCCGTGTCAGTCTTCGACACGCATGCATGTGCATTCCTCTGCTTGTAAACAAGGTGCAACGCATCCAGGTTCTACGTCAGAACGCCGGCTCCTGTGTGGTACTCTCGTAAACTCGCATCGAAGACTGACACAGAAGAGAAAAAAATGTTGAATGAAGGCGTTATTTTAGTTTTCTTTGTGCACAAAAATGTTTCTTGTAGCTTCATAACATTTATAGTTGAACTGCTGATGTCACATGGACTATTTTAACAATGTCCTTATTAGGGCTGTCAAGAAAAAATTCGAATTTCGAATATTCGTCGAATTTAAAATAAAAACGTTGTATTCAAATTTTAGGTGTGCGCCAGACAGCCTTATCAGTGGCGCACGAAATGCGACGACGATGTAAGTGTTATTGCATTTGAATGCTTTTGTTAGCCTATCCAGTTGAACCCACTAGATGCGGCGCTGCTGCGTTGTTCATTCAAAATATTGCAGAAAAAGAGAACAATCAATTCTTGTTGTTTACGTCAAAACCGAAACCAAGCCTTTCAAATATTTATCGCATTTTCTAGAGGGACATCTATCACCGTTGCACTCGCGTCTTGCACAAGAGAGCTGCATGTTTAGAAAGCTATGTAAAATTAATGTAAGTTGACAACTTTAAAAAAACATGTCTCGAGACTTTTTGGCGGTTTTCCCCATCCTACTGCATCTCAAGTTTTTAAATGAAGAACGTACTTTTTGTGATTGGTTTTCGGTCCTTTGTATTAAACTATACATACATGCATGATGCTGTTTTGTTTATAATTGTTTTAGCAACTTTATTAATTATATATGGTTTATAAACATTATTTTAAATGTTATACACTTTTTTTCAAAGATAGTCGTGTTATTTTATTATGCTTTGAAGAAACGTGCATAATATTTTGATTGATGCGCCCTCTTGGGGCCTCAGGAGAGAAGCCAAAAGCTTTTTTTCCCCCCTAACTAAAATTATGCCTTTTAAATTTGAATATAATTTGAATATTGATAATATTTAAGTAAAATATTAGAATTTAGTTTTTCAGCCATTTTGACAGCCCTAGTCCTTACTTCCTTTCTGGGTCTTGAACGTGGCAGTTGCGTTGCTGTCTATGGAGGATCAGAAAGCTTTCATCAAAAATATCTTAATTTGTGTTCCGAAGATGAACGAAGGTTTTACGAGTGAGTAATTAATGACAGAATGTAATAAATCAGTGAACTATCCCTTTAAATCAAGAAAAATTCTATATCTATGAATACTTTCGCAAGGCATATATTAATTATATGAATTAGTGCAACCCTCTACATTGCGAGTAAATCACTTGCATATGCGACTAAACCTTTACTCTGGGCGAATAAATGATGTCTAATATTAGCCAATGGCTAATCAATTCTCAGATTTTACTCGCCAGTGTGTGAGTTGGAGGCTAAGCACAAGTTTAGCACAGATATATTTTCACTCACAGAACACTCTGACTGAGCGCTTCAAAGTTTCACTCTCCGTCAAGCGATCTGTGCTATTTTTCAGTTCATCTGAATGGATGCGCAGCGCACCTGTATTTGACGTACTGTAAACTCTAGTGTGAAGGTGCACGACTCGCCGTCGCTTTGTCTCACACACACGCAGAGAGAGAGAATTGACGCGCTACATGTAAACTATATTCTTGTATTTCCCTGTCAAAATAATGGCTTTCTTTTGGAATTCTTCAGCTTTTAAGAACTGCCGGGTTTTCCTGTAGTGGGCGGAACTAATGCGCAAACTGCAATCTCATTGGCTGGCGCTCACCTATTATCGTCCCTGTTTTGATTTCAGCAAATCAGTTCGAGCGAACGCACACAACCTGATTAATATTCATGAATACAGCAGCTCATTAATCCATATTGTTCTCATTAGTAGAATTCGTATCATTATTATCGTGTCAGTATTTTTGTTAGTTTTTTCCTTTTTTTTTTAAAATTTTACAGAAACACTAAATGATCAAAAAAATCACCACCACCAGTCCAGTTAAAATGACTAATATGCATTCAAACATGGTTATCAAGTTTCAATTCTAATTACTAAAGTTCTGTCATTAAATAATAAACATTTATTTATATATATATATTATATATATATATATATATATATATAAATATATCAGAGGTCGACTGATTCATCGGTTTTGCCGGAACTATCGGTTATCGGCAAAAATCAATGCCGCTAGTTTTCCGGGTTGCGTCCGTTTGAGTGGTCCGCTGCCATTATCCACCTTTTTCTTCAACGCGGAAATAAGCCTATGGGAAAGACTTCCGGTTCTTTAGCCGCTGTAGGGAAATAACGAGAAGAATAACAACGTGCAGTAAACGGTAAAACTGTTTGCACTACAAACCAGTGTATTCATAATTAAGATAATACATTAAAATAATATGGTAAGACACACCAATTTTCAATATCAAGCAGCAAAAGGAGCGGTTCTGAACAGCTGAAAATAGCTGGACGCGGATTAGACCTGAAGCTAGACCCATAGAATTTACAAATGGCCGCACCCATTTTTACGGTAAGAAAAAGGTGGATACAGTACGAGAGCGGCCTCTAGAGGCGGAAGTCACTAACAGCACGTGTTGTTTGTTTTGACACGTGACACTGCGCGCTGCACAGAGCGGGAAACTTCAAACTCAAAAGAAAATCCTGCCGTGGAACAGAGCCATTCACATAGTTTTCCATTAAATTACATTATATTTGTCCCGAATAATTGTTAATGTATGTAATGACTTCACCCTAGGCTATGAATTATGTATTGTGCTCTTTCTGTGGCTCTAATACAGTCTTTATGCTTCATATAGAGAGCTGTAATACAGATCGCACTTTCTCTTTCCCTTTGCTCTATTTTTTTTCAACACCGAGCTTCAAACTCATTTATGCCACATTGTTCATTCTTGAAGCAAACTTATGTCCGTTTGGTGATTAAATAAACAGTTTTAGACCGCTGCTGGAATTGAAAGTGACCCGTCTGGTGTGTGACTTCTCCGAGAACGCATCGCAGGGCTCTACAGTGCGACCATTTCAGTTGCATTTGCGACTGAAAACTACTGCGTGCGACTTTGAAAACATATTTAGGAGCACCAGTGCGACTGACCAAATCATCATCACACTTGTGATTGCGCTCAGGGAAGCTTCAAAGCTTTCTACGTGTTTCTGCAGCGTTGAGTAATGTATCACAGACGTATCTCACGAATCCTTTCATAAGCAAAGTGTAGACAGGGTGTTCATTCATTGTGCAGTGTAGAGAGCTTTGTTGATTATAAATGTGAGATCGTGATGAGCTAAGATGAGTGACAGCTTTTAATGATTTTTAAGGGCATTTGTAAATGTGATACTGAT